GGATGTCTGCTCCCATATTGAGATGCCCAGGGATGTAAACTGCTCTTAGAGAAATGAGCTTTCCTTGGGCCCACACAAGGATCTGGTGCACCAGCATGTACAGGGGTGCAAATGCAGACCTCTTCGGTGGTTGATATAAGAGACCACCGCTGTGTTGTCGGTCCGCACCAACACATGACGATCTCTTAGGTCTGGGAGAAAGTGTTTCAGTGCTCGAAACACAGCCAGCATCTCCAGGCAGTTGATGTGCCAAGTAAGATGGCGACCACTCCACAGGCCGCGGGTAGGGTGGCCACTCATGACCACACCCCAACCAGTCAGGGATCCGTCCGTCGCTAGCGTTACGTGGCGACAAGGAGCTCCCAGCACCAAGCCCTGAGACAAGAACTAAGGTTTCTTCTACATGTCGAACGTTTAGTCTTAACCCCAATTCTTTCATCTGTTTAAGAAAGACATCTCAATTTCGAACCGCCATCTGCTCCGATTAAGATAAAATCAACCAATCATCGATATAATTGAGTATGCAGATGCCCTGGAGTCGCAGGGAAGCCAGAGCTGCATCCACACACTTCGTGAAAGTGCAGGGTGAGAGTGCAAGACCGAAAAGAAGAACCTGGTATTAGTAAGCTTTGCCCCCAAAAGCAAACCTCAGGAACTTTCTGTGATTGGGAAGGATGGAGACGTGGAAGTATGTGTCTTTTAGATCGATTGTGACAAACCAGTCCTTGGACCTGATCTGAGACATTACTTGTTTGAGTGTGAGCATCCTGAACTTCACTTAGATTAGATTAGATAGACTTTTATTGTCCCGAAGGAAAATTGTCTTGGACACATACAATCCAGTGACTGCTGCTTAAATAAGTAACACATTCACAACACATACACAAACTGCTATCAACCAACCAGTTGCACACTACATCATACAACACACCTGTAATCGTCATAATAATAAGATTAAAAAAAATTTAAAAATAAAATAAAATATACATGAATATCATTATCGTTACAATTAAAACACCGTTATGGGGGAAAACCTCTGGCTAACTTGTCATTTAAAGCTTTGATGGACAGAGGGACAAACACCATCTCCACTGTTTTCTTAGTGTTGATGATGAGAGAATGTTTGTCGCACCACTGAACAAAGTTCTGAACCTCATGTTTATATGCAACATAATCTGATGTATCTAACAAGAGACCCAGGATAACGTCTCAGGTTACGTATGTAACCATGTAGTTTGCTCATAATGAGCTTTTCCATGCACTTCATCACAACAGAAGTTAAGGCAATAGGTCTAAAATCGTTATTTTCCTGCGGGCAGGGTTTCTTAGGGACAGGTGTAATAATTGCCTTTTTCCATTGTGTCGGTACAGTGTGAGAATGCAGGGACCTCTGGAAAATGGGGAACCAGGCAGGTGTCAGTTCATCTGCACATGTTCTTAATAGAAAAGCAGATATGCCATCTGGACCTGTGGCCTTATTGACATTGATTTGCTTAAGAACCTTGTTGATAGATTTAGGGTAAATCTCTAGCCTATTAGTATCATTAATAGCAATACTATCAAGCACCATATCACATTCAACTGAGAAATCATGATTGTCAAACCTCTTATAAAAATAATTAAACTCATTTGCTTTTTCCAGTTCATCTACAACATGCAAAGATTTCTTAGTACGTTTCATGTTGGTGGCTATTTTCATTGAGTTCCATTATTTTTTAGAGTTCATAGTTTGGAGGTTTTCCTCTATTGTGATGGTCCCCTGTGATGCTTCTTTGAGTTTCTGGTTAAACTCTTTTTGTACAGTTTTAAGTTGTAGGTGATATCTGATCTTAAATGCCTGTTTTTCCTGTTAATACAGTCCTTCACCTCCTTTGTGATAAAAGGTTTGTTGTTGTTTCTGTGGCATTATCCAGGCTTAGCTCCCTAGAGAAAATATCCCAGTCTGTGCATAAAAAACAACCTTTCAGTGTTTCAATGCTGTCTTCTGACAATACATTGATAGTTTTAACCAAGGGTTTACAACTCTTTAGGGCTGTCTTATATGTAGGAATCAGATGAACAGTATTATGGTCAGAGTTAGACAAGGGCGGTTTAGCTATAGCTGTATATGCATGTTTTACATTTCCATAGCATTTGTCCAAAGTCCTATCCTTCCTGGTATCACATTTAATATACTGTTCAAAACCTGGAAGTGCAGTATTTAAATTACAATGATTAAAATCTCCAAGGATAAAAATAGGGGCATTTGGGGTGCGCTGTAATTGTTCATGAACACAGTCTGCCACCTGTGTCGCGGCTCGTGAGGCATTACCGTTGGGGGGGTACATAAACAGAGCAAATAAGGATGATACCAAACTCAAGTGGTAGATAGAATGGCCTGAGACTTACACATAACAGTTCTACATCAGAGTTACAAATTTTCTCCCGAACTGTGTGCTGTCTGCACCACTTGTCATTTATGTACAGGCAGAGCCCACCCCCTTTACTTTTTCCCGACAGCTTGCTCCTATCAGAACGAATGTGTGAGAACCCCTCTATTTCAACAAGACCGTCAGGGATCTCTGGTTGTAACCAAGTCTCAGTAAAAAGCATAATACAGGACTCACGGTACTCAAAGCATCCCCTTGTTAAGATTCGAAGTTCATCAATATTGCATTATACATTTAATTATAGTCATCGTCACATGACCAGCATTTACGTTGCGTCTCGTCTCGTTTTCGTCACGTGATAAAGGTTCGTTGACGACGATATTGTCATAATTTTCGTTGACGAAAGCAACACTACTCCTTACTCAAGAGAGTATCTACTTCCTGTTCCATTACCAGAGCCTGCTCAGGACCCACTAGGGTGGGAAGGACCCCATTGAGAGGAGGTGGAGGAGAACCAAACTGGATTCTGTAGCCCCTCTCTACAGTGTGCAGGACCCACTGAGACACATTTGGCAGTAGTTTCCACGCTGCCAAAAAGTCTACTAAGGAAATCAGTCTCTCGAGACTGACCTCTGGTGTAATGAGAGCAGCTAGCTCGGTGCCCTGTAACGGCGGACCGGCAGGAGACAACCGAATCAGCTGCTCTAGAGACCTCCGCAGAGGTGGCGAGCCTCTTAGCACCGCTATGTTCCCGGGCGGTGACTGAGAGTGGCGCTCGCGAGAGACTGCTGCGCCCTGTAACTCCGGCGGG